TCTGCCTCTGAGACATATTGAACATGTAACTCTGGGCAACCATTTCTCTAAGACTATACGTTGCAGAGCGGTTGCTGATCTGTGTTGGTAAAGAGAGTTTCCTTATTAACAGTTCCTTACACTGATGAAGACAAAAAGAAAATTTCTTGGAAATTTAGAGTTTATTATAAATTAGTAGAGCTGTCATTTAAAAAGTAGCCCCACAGTAGACTCCAACAGACAGAATATTTTAAGACCTTATTGATTCAAATTCTGTTCATTCCAAATGAGTGAGCTAATGTTGTACTGTCCATGAAGAAAGAAAATGAAATAAAGGAAATGAAGTTGTAGAATGAATGTTTAACCTACTTATGAGGCAGATATGGATTTTAGAAATTTCCATTTCCATAAAAATCGATGTTCCATTTTTGTTTTTGTTTTTATTAAACTAGCTCCTTTAACAAAAGAGCTTTTGTTGTTCCAATTACTTTAAGGATGGTAATATGATGTAACTACATGTCTTTAATAAGATAATCAGACTGGCCATTCCACATTATCCAACCCTTTTATGGTGGTGAGGCAGGGAGGGTGAGATTTTCACAGTCATACCTATGAAATTGATCAGCTACTGGAAATTACTACAGAGAGGCTATGTGGATTTTGAGCCTAAAAGGTACTCCATGACCATGGGCTGATTTCTACAAATTAGAAGAATAACAGGAAGGAGAAATGTCAATGAGCCCAAATGGTTCTTGTGCAGATTCTTATGTATATCTGGCAATGGGAAATAGAATCTCCTTGAACAACTAGGCTTTTTTTTTCCCTTAAGGCAGTAAGGGTAAAGTGACTTGCCCAGGGTCACACAGCTAGTAAGTGTCTGAGGTCGGATTTGCACGCAAGTTCTTCTGATTCCAGGGCCTGTACTCTATCCACTGCACCACCTAGCTGCCTGGGACTGGGCTTTCTTATTCTTCTCTGAACATGATACTTCATCTCCGGGCTCCATGTTTTTGCTCCCACTGTCCCTAAGTGTAGAATACTTCCTCCTCACCTTCCTCCTACCTGGCTTCCTTTAAGACTCATCTCATATTCCCATCTTCTGCAGGATCCCTCTCTGCCTCCCCCTCCCCCTACCTGGTTAGTGCCTTCTCTCTGAGATCATCTTCCACTTCTTTTGTTTCTGTCTTGTCATGCACCTAGTTAATTACATACAGGGGTGTGGTAGTAAATGTTTAACAACTGGCTATTCAAAAAGAAGTGCGAATTTGACATTTTAAAGTTCAATCTGTATATTAACACTTTCTCCATCACTTTCTGAAGTCTAGACAATCAACGAACGATATGTCAAGCCCTGATTTGCAGAGTTCAGCAGTTTGCCAGCTCGTGCTGAAAATCGAAGTGCTGGCTTCTGTATGTGCCTGCACATGCGAGGGAAGAGGCTGTGTTTTTGCCTTTGTATCTCAAGCACTTGTCAAAATTCCTTGTACATCGTTGTTGAGTCGTTTTCAGTCCTGTCTGACGCTTCGTAATCCCGTTTGGGGTTTTCTTGGCAGAGACACTGGAGTGGTTTGCCATTTTCTTCTCCAGCTTATTTGACAGAGGAGGAAACTGAGGCAAACAGTGACTTGCCCAGGGTCACACAGCTAATAAGTATCTGAGGCTGAATTTGAACTCAGGAAGATGAGTCTTCCTGACTTCAAGCCTGCCACTCTATCCATTGTACCACCTAGTTGTACATAGTAAAGGCTTAATAAATACATGTTTACTTACTAGCTGATCATAAATATTCTTTCTCTGACATATCATTTCTGTCACATGGGATAGTTGGGGTAGTTTTATGATATTTTAAAATTCAGGTTAGAGAAAGAAAGTTGAGGTGCTTTTTGGAAAGAGTATTTTCAGTATGTGGTGTAGTGGAGAGTCGACTATATTTGCTGACAGGGGACCTGAGTTCCAATGTCACCTTTTCTTTTCTTTTTTTTTTTCCAGCGGGAAGGTTCACCTTCTTTATTATTATTATTTTTTAGGCAGTTGGGGTTAAGCAACTTGCCCAGGGTCACACAGCTACTAAGTGTTATGTGTCTGAGGCCGGATTTGAACTGAGGTCCTCCTGACTTCAGGGCCAGTGCTCTATCCACTGCACCACCTAGCTGCCCCCAAATGTCACCTTTTCTGCTTACTAGTTGTGTGACTGTGGACAAGGCCCCAAATTTCTCTGAGCCTCAGTTTTCTCCTAAGATGAAGCATTTGGACTCTTGAGGGTTCTTAACCTTTTTTTGTGTAACGGCCCTCATCGGCAGCCTGGTGAAGCCTTTGGACCCCTTATCAGAATGTATTTAAGTGCCTAAAATACATAACGATACGAAGGATCCCAATTATATTGAAATACAGTTATCTAGATATTAAAAAAATTCAGTTCTCAGATTTCAGGTTAAGATCCCTTGGACTAGATACATGACCTCTGAGGTCGTTTCCAGCTCTAGAGGGGTGCGCTCCTGATCTCCGGCTGCCCTGGGGTCATCTCTGTCTCACTTTTTTTTTTTGCCACATTGACCTTTAGTGGTAAGTAACTCAGGTTCTGATAACCTGTTAGGTTATCATCATTTGAAGTCTTTATGTAAATATGGAAGTAAATTGTATTCTATGTATTCCAAGTGCATGGTGATTTCCTGCCTTTGGCCAGTCCCTGTCTTAATCAGCCCTGACTGATACCAGCTGAGATTGCATGAAATTGTAGAGCCCAACCAAGAATGCTTGGCACAATATGTCTGGGTCAGCCCTGAGGAGGGAGGTGAAGATCTGGAGCCGGTATGGATTTTTTTCCCCCTAAGAATCCCAGAACACTTTATGGACATTGTCACATTTGTTTTCATGTCTTCTAGCGAGAGACGAGTTTGTAAGTGGGAGACAGTGCACCAGAAAGTTCGAGATTCGTGTGGCAGAGTTATTCAGAGAGAGCCTGTAGATCTGTTGTCTTTGCTGTTGAGTCATTTCAGTTGTGTCCAACTCTTCGTGACCCCGTTTGGGGTTTTCTTGGCACAGATTCTGGAGTGGTTTGCCATTTCCTTCTCAAGCTCATTGGACAGGTGAGGAAACTGAGGCAAACAGGGTTAAGTGACTTACCCAAGGTCACACAGCTAGTAAGTGTCTGAGGCTGAATTTGAACTCACCAAGATGAGTCTTCATGACTCCAGGCCTGGTGCTCTATCCACTTGGAACATAATTCCAAACTCTGTTCTGCCACTCTGAGGTGATCCTCGTGTCAACATCTGCATGGTGCCTGCCCCGTATGTATTCTGGCCTTTGAATTCTGACTTGATGAAGCTAAGAAGGGGCTAAGCAGCATAACCAGGAGGTCTGTGCTTTTACCCATCCCAGGTGCCAGTCCACAGCTACTGGTAGTTAGTGCCAGTTTGGGCTCATTTCCAGCAATGAGGAGGGCAGAAGGCTTGAACTCCATCTGAATACAGTGGACAGAGAGGCATGGGAAGGAATTCAGTTAGTTTGGGGAGTTGCTTCCACTTTACTCAGGTCCTTTAAAAAAAGGGGTTCCACAAACATAAAGACAACCCTTGAACTAAGCTTCTATGCCTTTGAATCATTTGGGGTTCTCCCTAAGTTCCTGATTATCAGCGTGAGGTCTCACACTAATCTTGCCCAGTTCAGTCATTCAGTTGATAAACATTTATTAAGTGTTTACTATGTGCCAGGTGCTGTGCTGAGCAATGGGTTTGCAAAGAAAGGCAAAAACATGATCCCTGCCTTTAAAGAGCTCACAGTCTAATGGGGGATAACACACAAACGATTACGTACATAGAAGATATGTACAAGGTAAATTGGGGGCAGTCTCAGAGGGGAAGGCCTTAGCAGCCCGAGGGGGTAGGGCAGCCAGGAAAGGCTTCCTGAAGAAGGTGGAATTTGAGCCTAGTTTTGAGTACTTAGTATCACATATCCTAGGACTGTACCGACGAAAAGTTTCCCTTGTATTATTTCATTGTTTGGATTAGGTCTGTCTTTGTAGCTAGATTGTCATGTTCTGTAGGGCAGAAGCCATCTTTCTACTTCTCTGTATCTGCCATGGTATCATGGCAGTAGGATGATGGGCATGGAGCAGCTGTTTACTAAGGGATCCCTCTAGCCTTATAGCCTCTCCGTCCAAAAGCATGGAATTGGAACAACTCAGCTGGCGGTGTTTCTTTTTTCCTCTATCTGAAGGATCCAGGGAACAGCTCAGCAAGCCAAGCCTCTTCTTCACTGGGTCATGAGTATAGATGGCCTTGTCTTTTCTTCCTTTCTCTTTAATCAACAAGTCTTTATTGAACACCTACTATGGGCAAAGTATTGTGCTGGGTGCTATCTCTTGGTGCAGTGGACAGGTCTGTAGGTGCCTACATCAGAGATTCTTTGCCTTCCATTGAAGCAAGAGAAAGGTTACTGTGGATTATGGGCAGCTGGGAGGTGACCTTCTAAACTCTAGTAACTCTACCAGAATCTATTGGATTAAGTATGAGGGCTGAGCCAAAGTCCCAGGGTTACAAGAGAGGGTTCCCATTCAGCCTGGGTGGTCTGTTCATTCTGTCCATGGATAAGAGGAGATGGTTCTCATTCAGCTTAGATTAGTTTATTCTATCCTACACTTTCTATGTGTCCTTTTGTTGGCAATGAGAAGATGGCATGTAGGTCAACTCTGGGGAAGTTGAGTAGTAGATGATAATAATAGCTATGTAGCTATTATTTGTAGCATTTTAAGGTTTGCAAAATGCTTTATGAATATTATTTTGTTTTATCCTCACAAGAACACTGGGAAATAGGTGCTATTATTATTCTCATTTTACAGATGAGGAAACTCAGGCAGACAGAGGTTAAGTAACTTGCCCAGGGTCATACAGCTAGTGTCTGAAGTCAAATTTGAACTCTGATCTTTCTGACTCCAGATCTGGCACTCTAGGCACTATGGCACCACCTGGCTGCTCTAATCAACTTATTTTCTCTTTCTCTCTTCTTCCCTCCCTTGTGAACAGATATGGACTCTACCTTCACACCTCGAGAATGTAAACTTTCCAAACAAGAGGGGCAAAGCTATGGTTTCTTCCTCCGGATAGAGAAAGACGTCGAGGGTCACCTGGTTCGTGTGATAGAACAGGGCAGCCCAGCTGAGAAAGCAGGCCTCAGAGACGGTGACCGGGTCCTCCGTATCAATGGGGTATATGTGGACAAAGAAGAACACTTGCAGGTGAATGAGACTTGTAGGGGTTCCTGTTTCCTCCATTCTCCTTAACCTACAAGCTTGATTATAAGCTATAACCTTGCTCAATGTATTCTCTGCACCCAGAGATTTTGTCCTGGTGAGGGGTTATGTTTCTGTCCTGTGCCTCCATCAGTCAACCAAGGCAGTTTTCTCTCTCTCTGTTCTCCTTCCTAAGGAGTTAGAGAAGGTCTCCAAAGCTTTATATATTGAAGCTGCCTCTCAAGCCAAGAGTTCCTGCATTTACCAAGGATCATGAGGCTCATATCTAGAATCACTTTCCTCAACCAATAAATTTTAGTTATGTTTTAGGACAACAACCACTGAACAGACTAGATACCTAAGAATGGTTCTCCTCTAATAGGGGCCCTCTGGGCTGGAATTTGATCACATTTGCTGGAGCCTCTCAGGACTAGAAAAACTCTGCGAGGCTGAACCTAGTCTGACTTTGGATCTTCAGGGATAGTTCCACCTGGAGGGAGGATAAGCGGGATGGGAGGTGGCAAAGGCACAGACCAGTACAAGGAAAACATCAAAGCATGTAGAGTGAGGACCCGAGTCACTCAAAGTGAAGTTTGGGCATTTACCATGGTTTTTTCTAGCTTGCTCACTGAATCTCTTCTTCTTCATCTCAGGTTGTGGATCTAGTCAGGAAAAGTGGGAATTCAGTGATATTCCTGGTTCTGGATGGTGCATCCTATGAACAAGCAGTAAAAAAAGGGATAAACCTGAAGGAACTGAGTCAGAACCATGAGGAGACAGCCCCTGCGATGAATGGGGTAGCAGGTGCAGGGAGCCAGCCCCGGCTCTGTTACCTGGTCAAGGAGGGAAGCAGTTATGGCTTCTCTCTGAAAACAGTCCAAGGTGAGTGCACTGAGCTGGAAACCTGCTTCCCAGATTTCTCAGGTAGAAGGTTGCTTTTCTTCTTCCCGGTTGCTTTTTTGTCAGTTTGGTGATTTAATTATCTGATAGCTGTTTTGTTCCCCGGAGACTTTCAAAGAGACCCAACACTTGGATTCTCAGCTGTCCCTTTTAGCTCACGTTTTCTAGGAGGTTGTCATGTGCCTTAGGACCCTTCTTCTTAGAGCCTCCATGACTTGAATATAATGGAGAGGTTTATGTTCCATCACTTTAGGGGAGGCCGGCTTTTCCTCTGGATCCATTCTAGGAGGGTGGGGAATTAGGACAGTCATTTCTTGGCCAGCAATCCCTCTTTTCTCTTACTTTCATAATGTCCTCTCTTATACCAGATTAATGTACTTTGCTTTTTATCAAACTGAGACTGGATACACTGTCTTTTAGGCAGAGTCTGGTAGTGTTGCAGTGTCTGTGCTGGCCAGCTCATGTCAGTGGATGAAAGATGTTAACAGGCTCCAGATTGCAGGTTTGATCCCCTTAAAGGCCAGTTAGCTTCTTCCATGTAGGGAATAATCCTATTTGTGGCCATAGACTCTGAATCTCTCCCTAACCAATGATTTCACAAACATATTTGTGGGTGGGCATCGTAGCTAGTGTCCAATTATATCCAGATTAGTAGATTGTACATTCTCTGTTTTAAATCTAATGTCTCATTTAGCTAGGCTTATTGGTGAACCTCATTGTATTAATATGAAACCTAACAATTAGCATTAGTAAGCAAAAGAGTGAGTACAAACCCATTTTATTATTCCTTTCAGATTCCACACCACTTTGATGCGTTAAAATGACTGTAGTGGGCAGCAGTCATCAGTTAAATGAACATGGGTAGATAACAGAGTTGTCAAGGTCAGAGTCCAACAAACTTATCAACTGAAGGATATTAGCAGGAAGATATGTCTCTTTCACATTGTTGACAGTAATGTCCCTGACTGATGCATGTTTGCCTGAAAAGACCATCCCTTCCCTGGAATCTCCACCTGAAGACTATGTTTTGCTTTGTAGCTCTAGCTTTTGTTTTATTCTAATAGCCCACAGAAATTTTTGTTCACAAGGACCTCATCTCTGGCCATCGGGTTTGCCTCTGTGTAGCTTCTTGGAAGGCACTTTTTGATCCAGTTTTCAAATTCTTGGCTAATCAGTGCGCTCCCTAGATAACAGAATTTGGGGCTGGCTTACATCCTTCTGTTCAGGGGGCTTTGTGCTAGCCTTATAGAAACATGCTTTTTACCAATTCCATCATAACATGCTTCATGAAGATGATCCTCCTGGTCCTGCCATCAACAACGATTCTATTTCTGAGAAGTAGTTTATAGTATCAATTGTTTCCTCAGTGCTCACTCTCTTATGTTCTATTTGTGACTTAAGCTTTAATAGATCCAAGAACTCATCAATGTGAGAAGACATTAGGGGGGATATATAGGAGATGTTGTCAAAGTAGGAATGATAAGCTCTAGTATGAGATTGGCTGTGTAAGCAGTCAAGGATTACATTCAGGATTTTGAGATCAGGTGACTTGGAGGATATTGGTGTCTATAACACTAAGAAGGAGGTTAGAAAGAGGAGAGAGTTTTGGGGGAAAGATGGTAAGTTCTGTTTTGGACACACTGAGTTTGAGATGCCTACAGGATATCTTGTTCAACATGTCCAAAAGGCAACTGGTGATGCTGGACTAGAGTTCAGGAGACAGACTGGGAGCGATATGTAGATTTTGGAATCATCTGCACAGAGAGAATAATTAGACCCATGAGATCACCAACAACCCATGAGATAGTATAAAGGGATAATAGAAGAGGGCCCATGACAAAGCCTTGGGGGGTGTCCATTGTTAATGGGCATGATATGAATGGGGATCCAACAAAGGAGACTGAGGCAGAGTGGTCACACAGGTAGGGGGAAAACCAGGAAATGTGTAATACAGTGATTAAACAACTTTGTTCAGTGCATTCCGGCTAAAATATTTGCTACCCATAAGATTCTTAATTACAACCCACTTGTATTTTAGAGAGGAGCAAGAATTATGAGCAAATCAACAAATAGCTTCTGTGCAGGGTTCTAAATATTGTGCTGTTGTTTTACCTCCTGATGAGAAGCCAGGGTTTTGTTCTTGTTTGCTAAGAAAGAATGGATTATCCACAAAGACGTGAAATTGTAATTTAACTTTATCAGATGAAGTCTCTTCATTTTCAGATGTGAGGGTATTGGTGAACCAGAATTGTGCCCTTCTGCTGCCTGGAATGAACTGTCTTCCTTTCCTTCCACTACCTCTATTCTAGGTAAAAAGGGAGTGTACATGACTGACTTGGTTCCCCAGGGTGTGGCTTCAAAGGCTGGAGTACAATCTGAAGACCGTCTGATTGAAGTGAATGGGGAGAGTGTGGAAAATGCCAGTCATGAGGAGGTGGTTGAAAAGGTATAGCCCAGTTTTGCTGAGGCAGTATTTGCTTCTTATGTCTTCTCTTCTTCAAACTGGTAAGGAGACTTGAAAGGAGAAGACAGATGTGAACCAGAGTGAAGTAAGGCCAGAAGGAATTTTCATACCCTCAAGGGACAGACTGCTTAGTAATACAGAAGAGTTGATGTAGGACCTGGGATAAGGTCTTTGGCCAGTTCCATCTCATTTTGGGTCCAGGGGACCATTGCTCTGAGGCCCTGAGTTTTGACTGGTGAGACCCACCATGTTGCTGCTTTCTAGTCACCTTCATGCCCTACCACTGGCCAGACTCCTTCTCTACCCTTTTTCCACTTCCAGCTCTGGGACCAAAATCAACATTACCTTTCCTAGAAAGGACATGTCAATGGATTACCCCATGTTTCTGCTCACCATTCCTGTAACCTCCCAGTTCAAAACACTCTTTCTTTGCCATTACTCCATTATATATGTTGTCTTCCTTTATTAGGATGTAAGTTCCTTGAGTGCAGAAGTGATCTTTCTTTTTGTATTTGCTTTGTCAGTGATTATACAGTGCTTAGCACATAGTAAGTGCTTAATATATGCCTCTTTGTTCATTCATCCATTCACTGATTGCCCATGTGAGAGCATGTTTATGGAAAATAGTATTTCAAAACATCCTCACCGAAAATTTGAACGAAATCCATGAGGAGATTTTTTTTTGTTTTTGTTTTTGTTCCTATAAGAGACAATAGAGTATAGCAGAGAGCTGGTCTTGAAACCACAGAAATATGAATTCAGGTCCCACGTGACCCTGGGCAAATTACTTAACCTTTTAGTGCTCTAGACGACTCTCTACAACTATAAACTCCAGAGAGGCTGTTGCCTTGCATTGGTAAAGGGAATCTCCTCACCTGGGAGTTCCTGTATTGATGAAATGACAGGTCCAGTCTTTCTCCCTCTATCCTATGAGGACACATATATAAGTTTGAAAGCACAAGAGTTTCACAATACTTTTTTAAAAAGAAAACAAAAAAAAATTTCCCTTAAAGACATATTCTATAAAGTATGTGGTAGGAGATAACTATATAGTGTTATTTAGCGGGGTGTCTGAGGAGTATGAGGTTAAACTGGTCCCTAGATTTCCTAGTTATTTCAGATTTGAGAATTCAACATGGCACCATGGATTATGGAAAGGCATGTTTCAAATATGGACATATTAAACTAGTAGGTCAAATTGATTCCTGAAAATCTAAAAGACATTCATATAGTCCAAGGAGAATCTAGTCAAGTCAAGTTGAATCAATAAGCTTTTATTAAGTGCCTACTAAATACCCAGTACTATGCTAAGCACTGGAGAGACAAGGAAAAGCAAAAACAATCCTTGCCTTCAAGGACCTCAAAATCGAATGGGAGAGGCAACATGTAAACAACTACGTAGAAACAAGATGTCGTTCATTGTTGAGTTGTTTTTAAGTTGTTTCTGACCCTTTGTGACCCCATGTAGGGTGTTCTTTCCAAAGACACTGGAGTGGTTTGCCATTTCCTTCTCCAGCCCATTTTACAGATGAGGAATTGAGGCAAACATCGTAAAGTGACTTGTCCAGGGTCATGCAGCTAGTAAGTATCTGAGACCAGCTTTGAACTCATGAGGACAAGTCTTCCTGTCTTCATGCCTGGGGCTCTATGTACAGTGGCTCCATCTAGTTGCCCCCAAGGAGAAATATACAGGAGGTAAGGCACTAGCATTAAGGGGGCCTGGCAGAGGTTTCCTGTAGAAGAGGGGATTTTAGCTGAGACCTGAAGGAATTTAGGATTTTCCAAGGTGGTCCTTATGGTTGCCTGTTCCTTGTTCCAACACATGTTCTAGCTACTTTTCACATCGACCTCTGTGTATTTCTAATCTCTTTCTCAGAGGAATTTCTCATCTTCTGAAAAAGAAAAAAAAATAGAACTGGAGAGGAAGGTAGAAAGAAGGTACAGAGCTAAGAGGCAAAAGGACAGCAGAACAGAGTGCGGCCTGAAGCCAGGGATGATGTCTCCCCATGCCAGGGACCCCTCCCTCCGTTGATTCCCTCTAATTCATCCTGTATTACATCGATGTCTGTGTGGTCTCTACTCTGTTAGACTGTGGGCTCCCTAAGGTCAGGGACTGTCTTTTGCCTTTCTTTGTATCCCTTGGGCTCAGCAAGGTACTTTCGTAGTGGACACTAAATATTTGTTGACTGACCTCAAAGACAGGGAGGAAGGCATGGAGAAATGCTCTTATTAAGTTCCTGCTATGTGCCAGGCACTTTACAAATATTATCACATTTGATCCTCAGAACCCCATTATCATTCCCATTTTACAGATGAGTAAACTGAGACTGACAAAGATTAAGTAAATTGCTGGGGACATACAGCCAATCAGTTAGGATTTGAATTCAGGTCTTCCTGACTTCAGGCTCTATCCAGGAAGGCTGTAAGTTATGTCAATACATTTAGACAACGTGTCCATGGGGACACAACTGTCTTACATATGCTTCTACAGGTGAAGAAGGCTGGAAGCCAAATTGTGTTTTTGCTGATAGACAAGGACATGGACAAGTACTACAGTGATCATAAGATAAAAGTCAACAGAGAGACAGCCAGTCTGATGCTGCTTCCTCACAAGCCCCGGATTGTGGACATGACCAAGGGAAAGGGTGGCTATGGATTTTACTTGAGAGTAGGCCCAGGGCAGAAAGGTAAGAAGCTTCCAAATTTCTTGGGCTCAACTGTCTGATTCTTCTCTGTCAAACTGTGGCCCCGGGGCTCTGTTAGGCTCCCCTGACACTCTGTGGGGACAACCTGAATCAATCCTTAGATCCGGGTAGTGTCCAATACCAGGGTTCACTTTATGATAGTGGATGGTGGGAATGATCCAAGGCTGGGATTTGGGAGAGAGCAGTTGGCAAAATGACAAGGGATGGGGAGAGGGACTCAGGAAAATAGGACAGGATAGAGTGGAATGCTCACCAAAGGGTCAAGAGGGGGACAAGAGTAGAGAGTGGCAAGTGTAGGGGAGATGGCCTGGGAGAGAACTGAGGGGTTAAGGGATTAGAGGTCATAGAATGGGTGAAGGGTCAAGTTTGGGAAGAGAAGGCAGAGGGATAAGTGGAAAGGCAATAGAGTATGGTCAGATAAGAGGATTTCAGAATTGTCATTTGTTGGTGATGACAAGAACAAAGACATGGCCATTTTCATGTGTGGCTGAAGTGAGGTAGAGGACAGGATTGTGGGAAGTGAGTAGGTTGAGGAACTAAGTGGTGATGGTGTTTCAGGGGGAGTTGGTGTGTATATTGAAGTCACCTAGTATGAGGCCATTAATATCAATTTAAGCTAGTTCATTAAGCATTTATTAAGCACCTTCTATGTGTTTGTGAGAGAGACAGCATAGTACAGTGGCTAGATTGGCTGGATTTGGAATCAGGAAGATGAAGACTCCAATCACACCTCTAATTCTTGACCATCTTTGTTGTGGCTGAGTTGGGGGTGGAGGCATAGGTCATGGGAAGTGAATAGGTTAGGGAATTGAGGGATAGGGGAGTTTGAGGGAAAGTCAGTATGTACTTTTAAGCCCCCTAATATAATGGCAGGAGTTGGGGAGGAGAGAAAAATGGTGAGCTAGGCACTGAACTAGTGGAGGAAAGAAAGGGTCTGGAGACAAGAGCTACCAGGAGTTTGGATGGGTGGTAGATATGAATTGCATAAACTTCTAAGGCAGAGAGGTTCCTGAGTGATGGAGAGAGGGGAGAACCTAGAAATGGCACTGGTGAGCACAGAGTATTCCAACTCTTCTGCCCTGACCAGTGAGCCAAGGGGAACGAGTGAAAGTGTGGCCAGTCCTAGAAAGGGCGGCCAAGGAGGCGGTATTATCTGGCAGAGCTAAGTTTCAGTGATAATTAGAAGATGGAAGGAGTGGGATAAGAAAAGATCTAGGATAAAGGGGAAATTGGTTGCCAATGGAACAGTCATTCCAGAGGGCACAGTGGAAAGGGTGGGTAGCTTTTGGTTGGAACTCTAGGGCGGGAAGGTTGAAGGGGATTGGGAATAAGGAATTGGGTGGCGGGGAAGGGAGCATGATCATTCTTTACTCTGTGACCTTGGGTCCATCATGAAACTTTTCCATGTCTCAGCTTAACCACTTGTAAAATGAGAGTGGTGATAACTGCCTTCCCCGGTTGTTTTGAGATTTAAAGCGCACAAACTATTTTGTTCAAGTAGAATGTAATTGAAATTTTCTACCCCAACACTTTCACCTCCAAAGTATCTTTCCTTATTAAAGGTTAAGCCTACTGCCTTGTGAGAATTCTGAGCAGGGATGAAGGATGCATGTACTTTCCCATTCTGCAAAGTCCCCTGGGGATGACAGGGAGGATGGGCATTTCCCAAGGGCATTCCACTTCTATGCTTAACTAATTTGGGGTGAGTAGATGAAAGGAGGGAATAGATTTTATCCTATGAGATCTTAATCTTAAACTCTTATCATCTCTGTAGTTAGGGCATTACCCCAGAAAGAGAGGAACTTTTCTGACCATTTGGTTTATGGGGAGTAGGTCAGATCATCAAAGACATAGATTCTGGAAGCCCAGCAGAAGCAGCTGGTCTGAAGAATAATGACCTGCTCGTTGCTGTCAATGGAGAGTCAGTGGAAATGCTGGATCATGACAGCATCGTGGAGAAGATTAAGAAGGGTGGAGATCAGACCTCACTCCTGGTGGTAGACAAGGAGACTGATGCCATGTACAGACTGGTAAGTTACAGAAGAGTGTGGTCCAATGACCGTGTTTGCTTCATGGGTATAGTACAGCTTACTGCAGAAAGCAAATCTCATCCTAGGCATTTTCACAGTCTGTCCCCCATGGCTAGAATGCCTTCCCTCATCTCCACTTCAGTCCCAGCTAAAATCCCATCTTCCACAAGAAACCTTTCCCAATTCTGCTTAACGATTGTGCCTTCCCTCTGTTAATTAGGTCATATTTTATTTGTACACAGTTATTTTCCTGTTCTGTCCCCCATTAGACTGAGTGAGTGCCTTGAGAGCAGGGGTTGTTTTTGGTCTTTCTTTGTCTGGTGCCTGGCACATAGCAGGTGCTTAAGAAATGCTTGCTGACTCCCTGAAAGATAAGCCCTGTACACTGTGATTCTTGATTAATGTAATGTAAGGCTAATAAAATAGGCAATTTGCAGGGGTTCCAGAATGAATCATATAAGACTATAGTTCAACTTGAGAAGACAGAAGTATGAAGTGTTAAGGGAATTGCTTGGTAGGTGCCATGTTTGTTTTCCTGCCCCAAGTGCTCATCATTTATATGTGCAAAAAATGCTGGAGGCTAAAGGGGCCTGAAGAAGACCTTTATCTCTTTTGTCTTATTAAAGAGAAGGCTTCCTAGGAAGGATGGGAGAAATCATCCAGGAAAGCAGCTGAGAAGAAAAAACATCTCAGGGGACAAAAGGGAATCAAAACCAATGTCAGGAAGTTACCAATGGAAGAACCTGACACAGAAGAAAAAGAAGAGAAGAAATCCCATGGGGTAGGGACTCTATGACAGGCACATTCTCTGAAGCAGTCAGCCAAAGGTGATGGAGCATTGAGGAAGGGCCTAGCAAGGAGCCATTCTTTAGTTTGGGAAGGGGGCCTTTGGTGGGCGTTTGATCTTGTCGCTCCCTGCTGCCAAGTACAGAGGTGGAATTGTTCTTTCTTGGAACATGTAGCTTCGAAATGGCATCAGATCCCCTGATTGTTACTTACTCTTATAGGTTCCCAGGTAAATGAATGGTGTTAGAAGATACTCGAGGGTATCTCTAGTGACTTTGAAATCTTGGGGAGAAGAAAGTACTGAAGGCCCAAGTGATGCTTTGATTTTATTTGTTATTGTTGGTCATGACTTTAGAAGCTTATAGCTATGTGACCTTAGGTAAGTCACTTGGCTTATTTGGGATCTGTTTTTTCATCTGTAAAATAAAGTAGTTAGGCCAAATAATCCTTGTCATTCTTCTTGTTGTATATGACTCTTTGTGGCCCTGTTTGGGGTTTTCTTGGCAATGATATTGGAGTGGTTTGCCATTTCCTTCTCCAACTCATTTTTTTTTTTACAGATGAGGAAACTGAGGCAAACAAGGTTAAGTGACTTGCTCAGGGTAACACAGTTAATAAGTGTCTGAGACTAGATTTGAATTCAGGTCTTCCTGACTCCAGGCCTGGCACTCTATCCACTCTGCCACCTAGCTGTCTAGCTCTAGCAAAAGGAATTTGATTTTCTTGACCATGGTTCCTATCACAAAAATTGGGAAAAATCTGTTTGGCTTTTTGATCTAATTAAAAGAACTTTAAATAGAAATTTGAAGGTCAAAGGTGAAACCATATTTTTGTTGTTGTTCCCAACTGTTTGTGATGCCATTTGGGGTCTTCTTGGCAAAGGTAATAAGAATGGTTTGCCATTGTCTTCTTCAGCTCACTTTAAAGATGAGGAAACTGAGGCCGAAAAGATTAAGTGACTTGCCCAGGATCACACAGCTAGTAAGTGTCTAAGGTTGGATTTGAACTCAGGTCCTCCTGAATCCAGGGCCGGTGCTCTATCCACTGCACCACCTAGCTGCCCTGAAGATGTTTTGTTTGTTTCATTTGTCACAAACAAACAAAACAAATATGTGAGAATGAATATGTCAGGAAGGAACCTAGAAAATGTCTTGGGATTCTGAAGAACTGATCAGAAAGGAAAGGATTTAGGGATGCAGGTGATGTTTTTATCACTGCAAACAACTGAAGGTAGGAACTTTATAAGAGAAAGGATGCTATGGGAAGAATGTCAGATAATTAGATTTCAGTTTTAGGGACACAGCTCAAGACACAGATATAATGATAGTTATCAGGCAGTACTGTACAGCAGATAGTGTTGGACCTGGAGTCAAGAAGACCTTCTTAAGTTCAAATCTTTCCTCAGATACTTGCCACCTTTGTGACCTTGGGCAAGCCATTTAACCTCTTTCAGTCTCTGTTTCCTCATCTGTAAAGTGGGGATAATAATAATAGCATCTGTCTCACAAGATTGTTGTGAAGATAAAGTGAAATAACATATGTGAAATGATATAAAATACTTGGCTATTATTACTATAATGCACTCTTCTCCAGGAATAAAGGGTTATGGAAATAGGTATTTTCAGAGAAAATGCCTATTATATAATGACCAACCAAGATTCCAGAGGGTCAACAATAAAACCCACCTCTGGTCAGAGAGGTAATGGATTGAAGGTATAGAATGAGGCATGTTTCTTGGACACGGGCAATGAAGTAATTTTTTTTTTTACTTTATCATGCATATTTGTTTTCATCTCACAATTAACTGAAAGAGATGGAGAATGTAAGATCCCATTATATGCATAAAAAAGGAATTTTATTTAGCAGAACAAAATGCTGCCTTGCGGGCTCATTTGCAGCCAGGTGTCTCCTATTCATACACTGAGATCATTCAGGATTACTTGGAAGATGACTGTCAGATGATAAATGCCAGGTGAGACATGTGCTCACCAAAGGTATTCACCATTGTGCCAGAGGAGATGCAGCACAGAGCACAGGTGAAGGAGGGATTGAGTGGGCAGTGATGTCTTCAGATGCGCCTGTTTGTGGCTCATGTTATGCTGATTGTGTTAAGCCCCAAGACACTGCAGAATCTCTTGGAAGGGATCTGTAATCACTCAAAGCCTGTTCATCCACACAGGAAAGATAAAGTAGATAAAGAATGTCTATTGCCCAGACTTTAGCATGCATTTGGATGGACACTTAAAAGAACTTATCCGTTGGTATGTGTATTTGAGACAGACAGTAGAGATGGACCATAAACTGTGCCCACAGTTGGAAAGGAGGATGGATGGGATTATTTGAAGGAAAACTGCAAAACTCATTTAGCTAGCCCCACACTTCCTATGAAAGCAAAGGTTTTCCTTCCAATACTAACAGTGCTATATAAAAGTGAGGTATAACATTGACTTTTCGAAAAGATGGATATCATATAGAGGGCAATGAGAAGGCACATGGTGGAGGTGAGAAGGTTGTAACAAATAACCAAAATGGAGCTCCAAAGGAGAATAAGAGTAAATGATAAAAACAAGGAACTGCATTGTCAGGAAGAGAAAATGGGCTGGCCAGGGAGCAAAAGAGAGAGTGTGACAAGGAGACGGCCAGAGTTTTCCACTGGTACCTTCATGATGTTGGGAAAGAACGCTTCCGTCATGTTGAATAGACCTTCTGTGATGAACTTCTGGAAGAATACAAAAAAGAGCTGCCCAGGATGTCTTGTAATCCACACCGTTGGCAGGAACTTCTGAACTGATGAGATCATAGATTCATTTGAGTATACAAATGTAAATGTGTAGACATATACATACACATATGTATACATGAGTCATTGACATGGACATGATATTTGAACCCACTGTAGCTGTGAGATCACCAAAGAAGAGTGAGAAGAGGGTCCATAACAGAGCCTTGGGAGATGCCAAAGTCAGATAGAGAGGAGGAGAACCAAAAGAATTGTATGTCATGGAAACCTGGGGAACAGAGAATATCTCACAGGAAGAGGTGTCAACAGTATTGAAAAGCAAGGTCGAATAAGAACTGGGAAAAGGCCATTGGATTGAGCAATTACAAACACTCCTCTTTCTTAATAAGCTCCAGAGTAGTGTTTCTTCAGTCTTCTAGCAGAGATCAGTCTGGCATAGTACATGCTAAACTTGTAAATCACAGGCCAAGTTTCATCGTTCTCTGTGCCTACTGAAATTCTGATCATTTTACTTATGGCTTCCCCTAATAACTCCTTGCCATTACTTTTCTTCAGAAACTGTCTAGCCCCTTCATGTTTGCAGCAATTAGGGCTTTTGTTTGAGAGAGGTTCTTAAATTATTTGCTGCTACCTGGCTCTGTTGGCTGTAATTAATAATTATCAGATAACTGCCAGCTCCCTGTGGCAAATAGTAGCAGCAATAGTAATTAACTGTGAGCTGTGAGATCTTGCTGAAGAGTGCCAGACTCCCAGCTATTTCTTACCTTCTCTTCCTCTCATTGGTTAATACTGGCCGCTTGTCTTTATTGGGCCATGATTTAATGTTAACTGATGAAAGCAGAACAGCCCAACTCATTTTGAATGAGTTTTCTCCATCAAGGAGAAATCTTCAAACTGAAAGAGAGAGAGAGAGAGAGAGAGAGAGAGAGAGAGAGAGAGAGAGAGAGAGAGAGAGAGAGAGAGAGAGAGAGATCATTGAGAGGGAATTTGAATTCAAAATAGATGAAGAGATAGTCAGCATGTAAACGGTTTAAATGAGTCCGCGTTTTAGGGCCAGGTGAATTACAGTTCAGAGTACTGTGGGAAAACCAGCCTTCCAGACGTGATCAAAGAACCAGTACTGTAAATCTTTGAGGAAGTATGGGGGGAGTAGAGGAGCTGGAAGATGTGGAAAATGGGCTGATTGAAAAACGAAATGGGAATAGTATCTTGAGCAGGCCTTAATCTCTCTAAGCCTTAGTGCTCTCATCTATAAAATGAGAGCACTTTCAGCTCTGGATCTAAGATTCTATCAGAAATGGACGTCGGTATGCTCGATGTCGATTCTCTACAAGATTCTAGAAGACATTGGTGAACACCAAGAAGAGGAAGGACTGATGATTACTAGGATTTTGTATTCACTGAGAATTAGTCATGCCAAAATGACCTCCTTTCCCTTGTTGGACCGGGCTGCTAGGAAAGCAGGGAAATGCAGTAGATGGTGGGTTTGTTTCATCAAGGCATTTGACAGTCTCTTAAGATAGCACTGTAGTCAAGATGGAGAAATAGAAGGCAGATGATGGCTCATTATCTATATCTGATTGAACAATCATATGCAAGTAATGTTGATAAATGGGTTGAGGACAACCCTAAAGGGATACCTCTAGGGATAAGCTGTAGGATTTGGAATCTTAACTTCTATAAGGCTTTTTAAAAAAAAATTTCCCTTAATGCTAATCCTTTCCCTCTGTCGACTCTCTCTAATTTATCCTGCCTGTATCTTGTTTGTACATAATTGTTTGCATGTTGTCTCCCCATCAGACTGTGAGCTCCTTGAGATCAGGGACTGAATTTTGCCTTTCTTTGTATGTCTCTTGGCCTTAGCAACATGACTGGCACATAGTAGGTGCCTTACAAATACTTATTGACAGTTGGAGAGTATTCAGAGGGAGGTTTCTTACCTGGGGGTTCCTTGTACCAACGAGATCACAGAGCTAGTCCCTAAAATAAAAAGTCCATGCTAAAGGATAAGACCTAAAAGTCAAAGGGCAGTTTGTGTATAGGGGTCAAAGGGCAGTTTGTGTATAGGGGAAGATAAGAGAACTCAGTTCTGGGTCTCCTCACCAAAAACAAAACAAAACAAAAATACTTATTGACTGACTGTTCTGAAATTGAATGAGGATAAACAGGATTGCACACGTTCTGGGGGTGAGTGGTTGATGAAGGTTTAGAGGCAACAAGCATAAACTGTCCTTTTTAGAGGGTTAGTGGTATTGACCTTTTACACCTTCGGATGGAGACATGATATTACTGCCAGGTAATTTTATGAACTTGTATCGAGGGCTGAGATATGGAATGACTAGAATTAACTTTTCTTGCCATGAGTCATTTAAAAATTTTGCTACCCCCCATCTTTCTTTCAAGATATGGAAAGTGACTGATAAGGAACATTTATACAAATGCACCCCTGAAAAGGTCTGAATTTAATCAGTTGAGTTGGGCAGCTAGGAAGTTCTACTGCAGTTCTCATTCAGAAAGGAAGGCAATGTGGTCTTGTGGTTAAGATGAGACAGTTTTTAAGCACGAAGTCTCACTTGGTGTGACACGATGAAGTACCATTATGGTGACTACATTTTTTTTTTTGTTGGGGGGAGGTAGGAAGAAGGGGAGGATGGGTTTGGAAGGAAAGAGACTGCTAGCCTTCTACTACTTGGTCAGTCAATAGACATTTGTTAAGTGCCTACTGTGTGCTAAGCACTGTGCTAAGCACTGGGGATACAGAGGCAAAGATAATCCCTGTCCTCAAAGAACTTACAGGCTAATGAAGAGACAAGATGCCAACAACCATATACAAACAAGCTCTATACAGGATAAAGTGAAAATAATCAGCAGAGGGAAGGCACTAGAATTAAGAGGGATTGAGAAAGGCTTCCTGTTTAAAGTGGGATTTTATATGAGACTTGAAGGAAGCTAGGAAAGCCAGGAGAGGGCAATGAGAAGGAAAAGCATTCCAGACATGTGGGATGGCCAGTGAATGTCCAGAGATGGGGCGTCTTGTTTAAGGAACAGTAATGAAGACAGTGCCACTGGATCTGAGAACGTGGGGGGAAGAAGGGGTGTAAGAAGACTGGAAAGGTGGGGGTGGGGGGAAGTTATGAAGGACTTTGAATGAGAGAGGATTTTATCATTTGATCCTGCAGGTGATAAGGAGCCACTAGAGAGGGTGTGTGTGTGTGTGTGTTGCAAAGTTTATTAAGATAGTAGCAAGAATAGCACTCTAGATCCCAGGGCTTTTCAAAGGTAAGCAGTAACAGAGTCGGTTTAACTTTTAAAATCTGAGCCTACACTGACTCTTCTTAAAACCTGGTATGGATGGATGGTCTTTTTTCTAGTAGACCTGAGCCTTCCAGGACGCCTCAGTGATATAGTCATGGTGTCTCATGCTTAGTGTTTGCCTTCTTTCAGAAACAAGGACTTTGGTAGACATTAGCTCCCCAATCCTAAGTCCTCTCAGGATATAGAAGGCTCATAATCTGCCCATTTTGGAGATGACACAAATTGAGGCACAGAGGATTTGTTTGCCATCATCTAGGTAAAAGGAGTACTGCAGGCTAGGGGACACAAAAAACCAAACAGGAGAAGAAACTTGAGCCACCAGGATAATGTTCTGTCCATTCCTCTAATAGGGGGTTTGGGTTTTTTTTTCATTTCTATATAGATGTATAAAATCTCTCTCTCTCTCTCTCTCTCTCTCTCTCACACACACACACACACACACACACACACACACACACTTTTTACCACCTCGTTCCCACCAAAAACTGAAGCAGTGAACTTTTCAGCCCACAGGCCTAAAGCTTGGGGAACTTAGAGATGGTGCCAGTGCACCTTTCTGTCACAAAGCCGAAGGCCTTCCCATTAAGGCAAACATGCATTTCTCTTTTCAAAGGCTCAGTTTTCTCCATTTCTCTACTACCTTCAAAATCAAGTGCTGCCTAATGGTGCTGTCAAGGAGGTTCCTGCTGCTTCTTCTCCTGTGGCCAACAGCCCTGCTCCCCCTGAGGAAGTGGACATTTACAAGCCCAAGCTGTGCCGACTGGTCAAGGGCCAGGAGGGCTATGGCTTCCACTTAAATGCATTCCGGGATCAGCCTGGTTCCTTCATCAAAGAGGTAAGACCACCTCACTCAAATACACCAGGGTACTAGGTGGCAGAGAAACCATAATTAAGCTCCTCATCACTACTGTGGTCTATCAAATAGCTGTCAACGTGGTCCCAAACACATGGGTTTTCCAGGGATAATGGAGATCTAATCCTCATTTCTTAGATGGCTTCCTGCCCAATTCTCTCCAAGGAAACATTTTCAAAATGCAGTCCAGTGAATGTCTTCTAGGTGGTTAGCATGGCCCTTTCTGATCCTGTGGAGGCACACTACCATCTGGGATTGGGGCTGACACACTTGTTTTCCTAGTGTCTGCTCCACATTTACCACCATGTCTGGAAGGGGTTCCCTCCCTGTCCTGTTATGCCAGAAGAACAATATGAGAATCCAGAGTTATAGGTGGGGATCTCTCTCTTTATCTCTAAAGAGATGGGTGTAGGAATCCCATGATGCCACACCAAAGGTCACATAGTATAGCATGGAACTGTTTCTTTTACTATTAAAGTGAGGCATGGCTTTTATGGGTAGAATACTGAAAGCTGAGAAAAATGTGCTAAAGTGAATTAACAGCAGGGCTAAGAATAGACTGTCAGCTTCCCACCTTCACTATTTGTCCTAAGTAAGGAGGCAAGTGTGACATATCTTTTTGCACTACAGATATTGAAATCACTTGGAGCCTCTGTTCACAGGTACAGAAGGGTGGCCCTGCTGACCTAGCTGGTCTAGAAGATGAAGACTACATCATTGAAGTGAATGGGGTGAATGTGATGGATGAACCTTACGAGGATGTAGTGGACAAGATCCAGAACAGCGGAAAGAGTGTCATTCTATTGGTCTGTGGAAAGAAGGCCTATGATTACTTTCAGGCTAAGAAAATACCTATTATTTCCTCCATGGCGGATCCATTGGAGGACTCCCCTGATTCTACTGAGGAGTCACCAGCCGAACCAGAGAATGACTCACCCATCCCAAGAGAACGAGTAAGTGATCTTGACTTTTTGAAATCCATAGGGATTTCAGGCTCATTTCATAGGTATTTTCAGTTAATTAGGTATGCCCTCAACCAATAGCCACCAAAGAATATTTATAACAGGAAAATGAATCCTGTTACAGAATCAGAATGTGAGAGCACGAAGGACTATCAGACCCTTTGGTTCAATTCCCTCATTTTGCAAATGGGGAGAAAGCCCCAGAGAGGGGCTGTGATTGTCCAAAGTCATACACAAAGTGGCAGAGGCAGGACTCATATTGCTTCTTCCTCTACATGACTTTTATTTTCCCCCTGGAATCTTCACAGGCAAGTTATTGAATCATAGAATTTTAGAGCTGGAAAATTACTTAGTCCAACTCTTTAATATTTAGATGAGGAAACTGAAAACCAGAGAGGTGGAAGGCCTTGCCCCAAGTCACACTATGAGTCTGTGGTACAACAGGGCCTGGAAGGGTTCTGAATCCTCATCCCAAGATCCTTCTAGAAGACTACGGGGGCTCCAGATCACTGCTTTAGCAAAATTTCAAGTTCCTAACACAAAACTACTCCTTGGTCTTGTACCATAGGCCTCTTAAGAAGAAAGCGCTGATTTTCTTTAAAAATTTAGCCATAATATTCCTAGTGGACATCAACTGTTATTCCAGAGTTAATGCTCATGTCATTTGTCTCCTTGGAGAGAGAGAGACCTGAAGTCAAATAGGAAGTCAGATGCAAAGCCAAGATCAGAGCTCAGGTGTCCTGCCTCTTTTTGCATTGAATGGATTACCTTATGCTCCTTGGGACGGTTTTGGAAGATGATCATTGGGTTTTTGAGCTGCATTATTCATAAACAATTTTTTGTTCTTTTCTTCTGTGCAGGCTGATAGCACAAGTTCCCATTCTTCCAGCTCTGAAGACACCGCGTTATGATGACAACCAGTCCTTGGCTTTGACTAGAATGTCTTGGAATTTGACAGGAATAATCCTCTCTTAAAGAACAAGCAGTTACCTGTTGTGAAGAAAGTAGCCCACAGGGAAGGACTCCAGGTGAACCTGCACCAGAGAGAAGCCCCTGGTCTTTTCCTGTCACCCATCGTAGGGATGGCTGCCGTAGACAGCCAGCTCACTTGTGGTTAACTTAGAAAATGAGAACCCACGAGACATTTGCATTCCCACAATCTCTCTCTCTCTCAAATGATTGTATGAGACAGAGAGGTGTAGTTAAGCCTCTCTGCACAGGCCTGTGCCCCTTGAGCACCAAAGGTGATTCACAATTAGTAGAGGAGACAGTTGCTCATTAGATTTGTGAAATCTGACCAGATCAACCTTTCTTAGAAATAGTGTGCTATGTATCTGCGAGTGCGATGAAGAATAAACATCAGCAATACTTGTGTGACACGAGTGTGTGGTGTCTTCCTTTTCAGCCTCTTCAGACGCCAGCTAAACATCTGGCTACGATAGGAAGCTACAGCCTCATCTCCTTTTTGAGCTAGATGGGATACAACAGTTGTGGCAGAGCTGGACCTAGACCACGTGTCCCCTCACTTCCATTAGTGCCCTTTCCCCATCTTATGGCTTCTCATGGCCTCCAACCTCGCATTGATCATTCTAAAAGAATACCCCATATTCAAATGATCTTATGGCTAAAAGGAAGACTTTAAAGAGTCTGTTTCTCTGGTGGAATTTCTTTCAGCTGACCCCCAGGCGATCTACACAGAAGGCATACTGATATAGCAACATAAAACTGCTGTTAGGTCAAGGAAAAGGAACTTCCTAGCCAACAGCAGTTGCCCTTTGTGGTTATATTTTATTTTATTTTATTTTACGTTTGCTTTTTGGTGAGGCAATTGGGGTTAAGTGACTTGCCCAGGGTCACACAGATTTGAACTCGGGTCCTCCTGACTTCAGGGCCAGTGCTCTATCCACTGCACCACCTAGCTGCCCCTTGTTGTTACATTTTAAACGCAGGGGTTTTGTGTTCCACTTGTCAATTTGGAGCTCTGACTCCAGTGAGCAGTTTGTGCTCCCATGGCCTCTGGTCTTACCTAGGCAAAATGTTCCCAAGGAGGATGTAAGAAGCAAATTGAAACCCGTGTACCACAAAAACTTTGATTTTAATGACTTCCAGTTTCCCTTTCTTGTTCTTGATGAAACTGGAATTTAAACCAAAAAAAAAATCACCCAAGAATAGTGACAATGCAATCCCTTCTGCCTTGGTTTTCCAATGTGTCTTTTTCCTTTGATCTCAACTTCTTTAGATTTTCCTGGTGTGGGCACCATACTGCACACAGAAAATGTTCCATGGCCCAAAGGTTGGATCTGCTCGTCCTCTCTCCTGCCGATCCTGATAACACAAATGACCACCGTTTCCTTATGGGAGGAGGTATAGAAATGCTGGAGGCAGCGTAAGCCACGATAGCATTTTTGTCATCTAAAAAACCCAACCCCTGCGGTTTCCCTCCTCTCTGACGTTCTGACTTTGCCTCTTGGGCTTTCAGCAGTTTGAGACAGGCTCGAGTCTTCTCTGTTCATGGTGTCATGTGTTTCTCAGGAGCTTGCTTGTGCGCTAGGTAGAGGAAGAGGATGCTGGAAAGAGCACTGACCAGGAAGATCACGTCAAACCAGCGGTGGTAGAAGTTAAACTGCAGTTCTCCAAGGACCTCAGTGATGATGGTGCGGTACTCAAGGGGCATACTCATTCGGATGAGAAGCACTGACGAAACAAAATACATGCCCTGGAGATCAAAGAACAGAAGTCAGACCAGGAAGCACCTCGAAGAGAGCCTAGAGAGTGCTAAAGACATTGGTGACTCTCAATATTTCCAAATGAAGATGGCTCTTTCCACTTACCATGATCTGTGCTAAGAGCAGGACAATAACGTTGGAGGACTTGCTGCTGGAAATGGCATAAAAGAACTGTCCAAAAAAAAGGGGAGAAAGAGAAATGTGAAATGACTGTGGCAGTATAAGGAGATCCTTATAGAATGAAGAGTGTGACCCCTCAAGGTGAATGGGCTCTTCATAGGAGACCCTCACCCTGTCTTTGTCATAGACCAGTAATGGAGCCCACAAGGGACAGTGAGAGGTCTGCAGGACCCCAGGGGGCTGCCAAAGAGCATGCTCTTAGAGGAGAGTCCAGAGGGTTGAGGTGTAACTTTGTTATCATGGAAGTACTTGAGAACAGGCAGTGGTCAGTGGCCAACTTAACCACTGAGCATCTTGTCAACGTGGTTGTCTTCATAGCTGCCGGCCCAAATCAATGATGGTAGCAGCGTGAGCCACCAAACAAGTTCAAGGCCTCTGCTCCACCTCTATCTCCGACAGAGTTAAACACTCAGAGGATGAGATGCCTTTGACTTTTTCCCTGAGTGAATCTCCTGCTTCAGAGCCTCACTAGAGGTGCCATCTCAGGCTAGTCACTGAAGCCCTCTCAGCCTTAGCTTTTTTCATTTGTAAAGCAGTGATACCTGAAATAGGAATTGTGAGATTAAACAAAATAACACATCCAAACCACTTCCCAAACCTTGATGTTACTGCCTTTAAAGCATGGCTTATAGCGCTCCCTTCTCCCCTCTGCCGCTGCCTGCAGCCTGGTGCTGACTCTCGTAACTTCTTGCCTGGATACCACAATGGTCGCTGCTGGGTCTGCCTGCCTCAGGTCTCTGCACTCCAGGCCATCTTCCACTCGCTTGTAAACTCATCTTCCAAAAGCACAAGTCTGACCACGGCATCTTGCTCCTCCTCCAGTTTCAGTAAACTCCAGTAGCTGCCTACTGCCTCTGGGATCAAATGTGAAATCCTCGATTTGACTCTTCAGCCCTTCTCACCCTGGTGCCCTCTTACCTTTCCAGTTGTCTTACACCTGATTTCCCTTCACGTCCTCTGTGACCCAGTGCGCTAGCTTTCTAGCAGCTCCTGGGACAAAACACTCCGTCTCCCGACTCCAAGCATTTTCCCTGGCTGCCTTCCGTGTCTGGAATTCTCTCCCTCCTCATCTCTGCCTCTTGGCTTCCTTGACGTCTCAGCTAAAGCCCCACCTTTTTTTTTTTTTGATTTTATTAGTTTATTTTGATTTATCAACAATCACTTCCATATGCTTTTGAGTTTAAAATTTTTCTCCCCCTTCCTCCCCCCACCCTCCCCAAGACGGCGCACAATCTGATATACAGGCTATACATTTACATTCCTATTAAACATATTTTCACATTAGTGAAGTTTTAAGTAAAATTAAAACCAACTGGAGGAGCCATCAGAAAGAGGAAATAAAACTCAACAGAAGAGAAAAAAAATGACAGCGATTCAACTTCCATAGTTCTTTCTTTGCATAAGGACAGCATTTTCCATCCCGAGGCCTCTGGAGATGTCTTAGATCCTTGTAATGCTGAGAAGGGTTAAGTCTATCAATATTAGTCATCGCACAACACGGCTGTTACTGTGTACAATGTTCTCCTGGTTCTGCTTGCTTCACTCAGCATCAGACCACACAGGTCTTTCCAGGTTTTTATGAAGTCTGCCTGCTCATCATTTCTTATAGCACAATAGTATTCCATTACATTCATATACCACAGCTTGCTCAGCCATTCCCCAGTTGATGGGCATCCTCTCCATTTCCAGTTCTTTGCTACCACAAGCCCCACCTTTCACAAGAAGCCCTTCCCAGTTTTCCTTAATCTCAGTGTCAGTCCTCTGAGATTTCTCTCCAATTTATCCTGCATGTGTCCTGTCTGTACATAGTTGTTTGACTGTTATCTTCCCCATTAGAATTGAGAGCAGGGACTGTTTTTTGCCTATCTTTGTATCCTCAGTCCTTAGCACAGTGCCTGGCACATAGTAGGTGCTTAATAAATGCCTGACTTGCCTTACCATACTAGCTATTGTTATTCATTCACTTAAAATCTCCTTTGTTTGATTTTCCTATACCTACGCCTTCTTATTCTTTCCATTTCCTTACCTGAAAAGTACTTTTCTTCTGAAGGTCTTTGTTCTTCCTCCCTCCCTTCCTCTCTTCACTGTATTTTTAATCTACTTAAGTGGGAGGGACACCCCACTCTGTCACCTTGCTGGAACTCCTTCCTCTTACTCTTGGGAAGTATGCTGTAGGCCTGGAAAACCCCTTAACAATTTATTTCTTTCCCACCATTCTAAAAGCTCCTGAAATGCCCAGCTCCATCACCGCAGCCTCCCCAAAGTGATCGATCAGAGGAAAGCAGACAGCATCCCCCTCTCCAGAGGAAGGCCTTTCACAGCTAGCTTTCCCACATGGCCACATAAATATTCACTTTTCCCTACTTGATGCCTCTAAGATGGCCAGGCCTATCTGGGATTCCATTCAAACCAATGAGCATTTAGGAGCCTCCTCTGGGGAGGCAGTGGAAAGAATGCGGAGCTTGGTGTACTATTTGCTACCTGGATGACCTTGGACAAGTCACTGACCCTCTCCTAACCTGTTCCCTCCTCTGTAAAATAAGGAGGTTGTACTAGATGATCTCTGAGGTTCCTCCCAACTCTAAATCTATGATCCCATGTGCTAGCAAATGTGCTATATGAGTCGGAGATACCAAGGCCAAGATCAAACAGTCCCTGCCCCCAGGGAGCGACGGGGGGAGAGGGGTGTGTGTGTGTGTGTGTGTGTGTGTACGTATGTACAACATGTACACAAATGGTAAATACAAACCAGGGTGTTTTGTCTGTTTGGGGAAGCACTAACAAACACCTGGGGGAAATCAGGAAAGGCCTCTTTTAAGAGACAGTACTCGAGCTGAGCTTTGAAAGAAGGAAGGGAATTTCAAGAGGCAATGGGATGGTGACTGGGAACCAGAAGTAAAAGGACTGAAAACTGCATAAGAGAAGAAGTGAGGTCAGACTGGCCACAGTACAGACAGCCTTCTCCAGGAGCTGGGCTGTGAAAGGGATAAGAGGTATGGGACAACAGCCTGAAGGACAGCTGGCCATGTTTGTAGGCAGCAGAGAGGATGCAAAGAGCTGCTTCTGTCTTCTTTAACACTTCTCTTTTAGGAAGAGCTCTTGTTTGTTCAGTGGCTAACACTGTTAAATGTTTTTACAAAACCACAAAATCTCCGAGTCTGAAGACTTCAGAGGCCACTTGGCCTAGCCAGTACCTGAACAGTAAACCCCCTACAGCCTTTCTGAAACTTGATCCTCTCACTTCATCTGAAGACCTACAATGAAGAAAACCCCACTATATGCCCAAAGGCAACCCTTTCTATTTTTGGATGGTTCTAATTCTTAGGAAATATTTTCCTTGTTAGTTCTAAGTGTGCCTGTCTGCAACTTTGACTGGGAGCACCTTTTTGGGACGCAGCAGAGGCAGTTAACAGATGCAAGCCCTTTGAACACTTAAATCCAATTAGCCTATTTTCTCTAGGTCTTCCCCTT